TTTTTTTTTTTTGTTTTTTTTTTGCTAAATACTATGTATCTCAAGATGCAGCTCTACCAAGCATCCTCTCTAGGAAGTGTTCCCCAACCTTCTTTGTGTTACATGCTAATCCCCCACACTCAGGAAACACGTGTGTTTACTTTCGTCCCTTCACTATATCTCACTGGCTAGTTTTGGTCTGATTCCCTGGCTCACCTGGAAAATGCCTTAAAGGTAAAAAATGGAGTACCTGGTACATAGTTGGTGCTCCATGACTGTGTCATGGGAAGGGATGAATGCGTGCATTTTTTAGTTTAGTTTATAAACTTGCATATGTGGGTTCTTGTTTTACCTGATCTGACACGAGTCAAGCCATTCAGCCCACTGTGTCGCCGGAACACGTGTGAGACGAGCGATGTTAGAGTCACAGATAAGTAAGTTTAAGACTCTTGCCGTGCATCCTGGAGGATCGTCGAGGTGCTGACTCCTGGCTGGGTCTCCAGAGAGTGTTCCCAAATTAAAACTCCTGTGTTGTGTTGTTCCAGGCCAGCTGCTGCCAGCAAACCGCAATACACCCAGCCCCATCGACCCAGACACCATCCAGGTGCCAGTGGGCTACGAGCCAGACCCGGCCGACCTCGCCCTCTCCAGCATCCCCGGGCAGGAAATGTTTGACCCTCGCAAACGCAAGTTCTCCGAGGAAGAACTGAAGCCACAGCCCATGATTAAGAAAGCTCGCAAAGTCTTCATCCCTGATGATCTGAAGGTAAATTGGAACTGGTAATCAGGCCGGGGGGCAAATGGAGAAAGGGCTCAAAGCGGCAGGTTTTGGGGGGAGGGTGTGGCTCAAGCGGTAGGGTCCTGGGTTCAATCCCCAGTTCCTCCATTCAAATAAATCAACAAACCTAATTGCCTCTCCCAACCCTCCCCAAAATACCTAAAAAAAAAAAAAGGCAGATTAAAAGGGTGGCCCTAGGAAAATCACACAAGCCAGTGTGAACAAACGGCTTGTGGTTTCTGTCCCACTTCTTGGCATGTGACTAGGCAAGTTGCTTCCTCTCTGGGTGTCTTCTGAACTCTGCCTCTCACATCTTGCTAATGCCTCTTGATGATGCGCAGAAATAAAGAAAAGCAATAGAACGGAGTGCTTTGCAGCCCACAAAGGAAGCAAGCCCACCACTGTCTGCAAGGAAACCCAAGAAAGCCTCATAAAATCAAACCAGGATCCTTCAGGGTTGGGAAGAGAAAGCACATCATTTGGGAAGGGCATCTGGACCTCGTAGTCCTCCAGGCGTCCCCTTCCCTTTGGGAATTTACTGCTCATTAAAAAGGTGGCTGTTTCTCTGTGGGCCCAAGGCAGTAACAGCCAGAGACAGGGCCGCGCTCCACACTGTCTACCTTGGGTGCCAGGGTAGAACTTTGTTAAGGAAACTGGCAGGTTTATGTGGAATGTTCCCCCGGTGTCTTGAGTAATGATCACTTGAGTATCTCAACAAATGGTTAACTTGGGGTTGGGTTTTCTCTACTGTGTTGAAGGGACACATTATTTATAAAGGAAAAATAGATTTACCTTAGGAAGTCAGATGCCACTTAAAACAAAATTAATCTAACGCATTTAATGACACCTTAAGAAGAGAATTCTTTCTAAAATTATGCCGTGCCTACTAATACCAAAATAGGACCATTTTTGATTAGCTGTTGCTTAGAATTTTTTGTGTTTATGCTGCTTTTCAATCATATGGACAATAGAGATATGACTGCATATATTCAGGGCACTGGAAGCAGATATAATTAGATCTTTTCTAACTTCTGACCCCCATTTTTCAAGCCTAAACGTGGTTCACATGAAGAGACACTCCTGTTGGGAAAATGGGAGATTGGGACTTTGTCCTGGAGCTGCTTTAGACCAGTTAGCTCTGCTTTTCATATCTGCAAAGAGCACTGGAGGGACAAGCCGCCGCTGTCATCCGCATCCCTGAGATCGCCTTCAGTGATGCAGAACCATAACACAACCAGGAGGAAAGGGACCTCCGAGATTCGTTAGACCAAAGTGCTCATTTTGCAGTTGAGGAAGTGGAGACACAGAAAGGGAAAGGATGGTGAGCACTGCTAGTCCGGGGGGGTCTGGCCTGGTTCCCAGGTCATCTAGCTTCCAGAAGGTTCGCTTCAGCATGCCGGCCCTGAGAGGGCACCACCGGGGCCTTGGCGTGACAAGCCAAGAGCTGCCGCCCTGAGAATCGAAAGAGGAAAGGGCATAGTAAAATCACCAGGAAATGGAAACCAGCCAGGGAACTGACGGTTAGACCACGATGGGGTGAGAAAGGGGCCCAAGGAATTAGGGCCTGGGCAGTTAGCATCTTCTTTCCACTGATGGTTTTCCTCCTCCTGGGTTCTTAGCCACCCATTTCTGTGTGTCTTTTAGAACTTGCCTCTTAAACTAAACCAGGGAGCCCATCCTGAGTGGGTTTCCTCTTGAATAGAGAGAGACTGGAAGGGACACTGCTGAGTGGTGGACATAACTTCTCGCAGACCTGCACAAGGTCTCCAGCTTTACAGATTTAAAGCAAAGAACATGCGTACTTAATTACCCAGGGGCCTGTGGCAACAAAGAGGCCACGTGAAAACCGTCTTTGCTGGGATTATGCACAGTACTGCCGCTGTGGCCAGCCCTGGCCTTGGTGGCAGCGGGAGCAGGCAGGAACATTCTCCTGCCAGGTGGCCTTGGGTTCCTTCAGCTGTGAGTAAAGTCTCAGGCCACAGACCTTGAGCTTGGGTGATGCGGGAAGCTGGATGTAATAGGTTCCTCCCCCAGCAGGAGGACTGAGCTGGGGTAGGGTGGGAGACGTGTGTGTGTGTGTGTGTGTGTGTGTGTGTGTGTCGCTCTCGCTGTGTGACACATAG